CATCCATCGCAATTGTTGGGTTATACGGATTAGTAGTAAGATCTATTTCAGGGAAAGATATTTCTAATTAATGGACATGTAATGTTATTATCTTTGGTTACCCATATTTATAGATAGTGGATATAATAAACGGGAACAATATAAACAGGGAGACGCATGGAAATTGAGTATAGTCTTCTTCCGAAGGACGCCACTATGGGGTGGGTGAAGAGTTGTCATTGATAGAGGGGAGACGGTTTTATTGTTTTGGAGAGAATCAATGGTGAATATTAAGAACTCGAAACATTTTTAGTTTATTGATGTTTTTTTTTTAAAGCCAGGGAACAGTTGATTTCGATAATAAGATAGGTTATCACGTAACGGTAAAGCAATCCGGGAATGTAAATTTGGGCGATCTATATGAATTTATTAATCCTTTATACAGTGTAACGGCATATTCATTGTTGCTTTAAAGTGGCATTATGTAACCGTAAGAAATGACTCATTTGATGTGTTTGCCGTAATCATAACATGACGATGGAAAAATATGCTTTATTGTCCATTAAAATGAAAGAAATAAATGCTGTTGACGATAAAAATGTTTGTATTCAGACAACAGGGGTTAGTGCGAAAATTAGAATTCATGTACGGTGAAGAGTATACTGAAAATTTGTGTAATGATGTAATCATGTGAAAAATCTAAGTTCTAGTTACTAATGAAGCGTACAATAAACAAAGCATTTGGTTGTGGTTAGGTTATTCAAATTTATTATCTCATTGATGTACTGTATAATCTGTATAAGGGTGTCATAATTTTCAATGACGTAAATGTAAATTGATTATTGTTTGTTCAAGCTCTTCCCCATAAGAATGTTGGTACTACATATTTATATGGACTAAACGCATGTCGTAATATGATGATGTCTAAAATACTATCTGGTATTTTCTATAAGGTATTTGCTATTTGAATAAGGTATTCTATTCGAATAACTTATAATTATACGCCATTAACAGTACACACGTTTATATTTTACTAACCTCATTTTACGATACATGTACCTATTATAGAGACGCAAAAAGGTACTTTATACATTGATTTTTGCATGTAAAAAATTTTACATAAACATATAAGAATGATAATCGCCTGGTAATCACAAATCGCTAAGAATAAAACTAAATTTAAAAAAAAAATACATGTTTCTTGGTTAAAATGGCCATTATTATTATTGGTTATTTGATAGATTTAGTTTATCATGATAACCGTATGACAAAAGGGTGTATACAAACTCTCGTCACTATAGTACTATCTGTGTGCTTTATTGGGACTCATTTATTATTATAAAAGAATGACGTTTACGTTCATCATCATTATGACAAAGATGATAACTTTCTGTCGTGGTGAAAAATTTTTGTGGAAGTAATGACAAGAGACTGCTGACTATAAAAAATAAGCCCCTCAGAAGTGTGTAGACATTTATAAGGTACGTATATATAATTGCAAAGATCTACATAAAAATTACTGTAAACGTGTATTTGACGGTTAATTAGGAATCGAACGACGAACGAAAAAGTCAAAAGAAGCTACTTAAAATGTCCAAGTAATTGTGATAAAAATGTCCATATTTGCAAGTAACCCCATATTCGTGCAAGATTTCGTGTACAACAGAGTCGTATAGATTTCATTCGAGCTCAGGAAACTGTTTTTCGATTTTGAAGTAAGCGGATACATATTTGCATGTTTTTAAACGTCTCTAACAACTTTTTTACAGATGTCGGCGTTATTGAGTACATACTATAATATGCGCGGTCTAAATAGTTTGACGCTTTTTGTAATAAAATGCGACAGTCGCGGAGAACTTTAGAACAAAATCTTTGCACAACACTGTGCAAATATTATTGAGAATATTGCACAAAAAAAATTACAAGCAAACAAACAATCAATTATATCGTTAATTTTGGATAACTCATTTCTCACGTTACGAGCAGCAAGAGACTAAGATCTTAGTTTAGTCTAATTTTGAAATTTCGAGCAAACATAGGCACCTGCTTTTATCACAGATCAAGCTTTCTGTTGAGCCCACGCGGATCATTTTCAAGAAGCGGCCCACCATCCGAAATGTAATTACGTGCTTATTCACGAAATTATTACACATTCAAGATAAAAGTAAACGTACACGATTTTATTTCGGAACTCTGTTAACCATATCGACCATAAGTAAACTACTAAATACACCCACCCGTAAACTACAAACGTGTTTCAAAAAAAAAGTTGAGAACCTAAATTAATTATAAATTGATTAGAGTTTTGCATATTAACGTACTTGCAGCTTATCATCCCGCAAGTACCAACTTGTTAGAATACTTATTCTCCGTCAAGAGACGTAATGCGGGTGTTATGATAAACGGCATTCCAAGTGTCGTCATCATCGTCAATATTTTTAATAAGCTTGTCGATATCAGAGCAAAGTCTTGTTGCAACTGGACGTTCATCAGGATCAGCATCGCAACATCGTTTGGCAAGTTCCTTGTATTCCTTTGGTGCCGAGTCAGGCATCACTGGTCGTATTCCACTCATAACTTCACTTATTAATTTTTCATCGGACCGATTCTCTCCAAATGGCGGTTCGCCAGTGGCCATCAAATACATAATGATACCGAAAGAATATATGTCTGATTTCTGGGTAAATCTGCGAGTATGAAAGACTTCCGGTGCAATAAAAGATAGAACACCTCGAATGCTTAGATTTTGCTGACGTGAATGCACTGATTGAGAAAGACTAAACCCGTATATGCAGGCTTTTGTCTCTTGTATAACAATGTTACCGTCACGAAGATCACAATGTACTAATCCCACCCTATGAATGCAACTTAGATCGCGTGCAATGTCCATCAAATATTGTAATTTCCTTCTCCACGTCAAATTGTCAATATTCTGACCCAAATAAGACAGCAGGCTACCATCGTCAGCATGCTTAATAATGAGGTATTCCTTTGTTTCTGGCTCTTGTGTAACTCCATAAAGTCGAAGGAAATTATTATAGCGCTTTGCACACTTGACATGATTTCTGAACTATTAAATAAGAATAAATAGGAACGTCAAATTAAAATATCATTTTACTAAATATTAACAGCACTAATTATTACTTGCCTCGGAAATAAACAAGTCTGGCGTTTTGTCAAAACTCTTAAACCGTTTGAGTACAACAGTTTCTCCTATACCAGTAAACCTTGTTAAATGTCTTAAAACTTTGGCAGTATAAATTGTTGCATAACCATCAGATTCGATCTCTTTGAGTTCATCAAATTCGCTATACGGTATCTTCTCTAGAAGTTCCTGTAATGTCATAAACTTATCCAATATTTCATATGGATTGTAGTAGAAAACTAAATAATATTCCCGAGTAGATGGTTCCTGAGTGATTCCAATGATCCAAACATTACCCGGTGTTAATATCGTCGGGTATGCACGAGTTAGCTGTTTGAGTACAACAAATACATTCGTAACAAACTGGTCAATTAAATGCGCGAGAGAATTTATCGATAGCATTGCATTGCTTACACCCGAGATAATTTACCTGATAAAAATCAAATTGATCGTTTTGTTTGTCGATTATCTTTTTGAGTGTGACTCTTGTCGATTTAATAGTTCTCGGTTTCCACTCTGCCATATGTGTACATCCATGACGTAGCGATGTTGTCTCTCGTATGTTTGATAACTGACAGTATTCGATCCATTGTATATGCGCATCCTGCTTATCGACTATATTCTTCCATGATTCCATAATAAATAAATCCAATACCCTGTTACCCGTAGTCCAATTAGGAAGTCGTGGTGCTTTACATTCATAACAGAATGTATTTATGTCAACATTTAATCGCCGCGTACACGCCAGACATAATCCATGTACGTATAATTCTTGTACCATATAATATTTCCCTTTTATTCCACTTTCACATGTAAATCCGATGGTAATCCAAACATTCGTGTCAATAATATCGGGACGTAAATCGCATAACTAGTGGAAATGATACATAATAAGAAGTCAACAATTATTAACTATTCAGTAAACATGACGCACAAGTAGTAAATAGTTTACCTCGGCATAAAATAAATCTGGTGTTTCGTCTGTTATCTCAATTGGAATCGTTGAAACGGGTGTGCTAGTTAGATCATCCAAGTATCCACGTCGAGAGCCACTATTAATAATGGAATCAAATAGAATCCATTCCATATAGGCATCATTTGCTGAGCTTGTTTGCAATTGTGTCTTTTTAATAAACTCGTCGAGTTGCTTATTGTCGCTAGTCCATCCGTTGGATAATGCTTTATGACCGCAAATACACCACACGGGACTACATCGAAGTATTCCACATGCGGAGCAGTATCCGTATCGAGAATAGCAATGGAAAAACTGTCTCTTAGCAACCATGTAATAATTATCGTCATACTGGGTAAATCCAGTTATCCATTCGTTGCGACGTACAAGCCAGATTTTGTATCTTCTAAAGTTATTCTCATCATTGTCGTACTCGTGTGTTGGAAGTGAGTATAATCTTGCAAATTCACTCACAAATGTTGGAGTACATTCTTTGTTACTTCCAAGCAGCACCAGTATTATCGGCGTGTTATAAGCTTTTTCTTTGCGGATAGCATAGTGAACTGTGTCTATTGGACTTGACTTTATGCCGGCAATAACCGAACAGGAAATCCATCCAAGTCTATGTTGGCCTTCTAAAGAGGATTGAATCAAATTGTTAAGTGCTGTATTATAATCAGACAGCGTCATAGTTTCACATAGAAAGATGTTTTTTCAACAAACTGAAGCGCCCATTTCTTGTTTCTTGTGTTACAACGCTTTGTCACATGATATGCATTCCGACGTTATGTGGCGATATGTGTTTATGACAACAGAGCAATTATAATTTGCTGTATAAATAACTATATACGTACGTAGGCCTATACGCAACTCGATTACTTAATAAAAATCTCAATTATAAACAAACTTCTTGTAATGTAGAAAATGCTAAAACATTTATTTTTATCTACAAACTTGGACTCTAACGCGAGAACGTATTATGGTAATTATATGTTAAATTTGTTTCTGTTGGTTGCTTTTTCTACAGATTAAGCTCCAGCATTTGCGTTATCAAAGCAGAGTACCCTCCTTTTGTGAGTGTTCGGGTCATAGGAAAGGTTAGGTTAACCATAGAAAACAATCCACCTTCGACATTGGATCTGTTCAGCGTATCGTCTATTGGCAACAGATCAGTGATAAATCTCACGACTATTACTCTACTATGAAATATATTTAGGCTAAAAGAATAGACCAGAAAAGATTATAGATCATGAACAAATGCAATGTACTAAAAAGAATGTTTCTTTGATGTGCGATATTGAACAAAGTTATGACAAAGGCCTTAATCCAAAAACAATGAATACACTGCGAATATTATAATTGATTAGACTCTCGGCCAGGCTTAGAAATATTTTGCATCTCGGCATATATTATAATTGGCACGCTTGTGTTTTATTTGCGTTGTCGGATACCGTTAAACTTTCTGGGCAACAATATTATGAAAAGAGTACCTTTGTGGATATAGTAGACTACTAACTTCATGCTCGCGTAATACCATCGACAGACTAAAATTTTAGTTTACGATACGGATATTCAAAGTCTCCATGTTTTTTAGTCAAACTGTGAGATTTCGGGCAGACATGGGCCTGATTTTATCGTGGGTGTCGCGTAGATCAATGTTTTAATTGAGCAAGAAATCGACGCACGAACTATTTCAAGAGGCAGACATCATCCGGCCAGAGCTCGTATGCAAAAATCGTTACATATTCAAAATACAACTTGGTAAAGTAAATGTGCACAATTTTATTCCGAATCTCGTTAGCTATATTGATGTTAAATAAACTAATAAATACACCCCGTGAACCACAAACTTATTCAGTAAATAGGTTGAGTTCCTAATGTAAGAAACAAAAAACATTAACATTGTGAATTGGTTTCATTTGCATCAACGTGTAATAGTAATAGATAACATACCTGCAGCTGATCCTTCAGTAGTAGGTAAGGGCTTACTAGAATATTTACTCTCCTTCTCAAGACGTGATAAGGGTTTTACATCATTATAATATATAGTATTCCATGCGTTATCGTCAGAATTGTCCTTACCCAACTCTTGCCTAAGATTATAAATATAAGGCCAAACCGTGAATGCGTCCGGACGTTTGTCAGGATCAGCATCACAACACCATTCAGCAAGTTTCTTGTATTCTCCTGGTGTCGAGTCGGGCATCCTTGGCCGTAGTCCACCCAAAATATCACATACTAAACTCCTATCAAATTCTCTATCTCTAAAAGGGGGTTCACCAGTAGTGATTAAATACATAATAATACCAAAGGAATATATATCTGACTTTTGAGTAAATTTGTACGTATGAAACACTTCTGGTGCAACAAATGGTAAGACACCCCGAACAGTTGACTCAGACTCAAACGAGTTTACTGATTGAGAAAGACCAAGATCGCATATGAATGATTCTATTTTAACTTCATGCCAATTGTCATTATCATGCATAACGATATTTCCACCATGAAGATCACAATGAACTAATCCAACATTATGAATATCTTTCAGATAATATGCAATATCCTCCAGATGCCGTAATTTCATCCTCCATGTTAATTTGTTAATATTTTGACCTAAATAAGACAAAAGATTACCATTGTTGGCATATTGCATAACAATCATATATTCTTTTGTTTCCGGGTCTTGCGTGACTCCATAAAGTCGAAGGAAATTATAAGATAAACACTTGCTATGATTGATAAACTGTTAAAATAAAATATAAAGGAGTTAGATTATATTAAATACAGTGTTAATTAATCATATCAAATATAAAATAACGCTTACTTCAGAAATAAGTAATTCTGGCGCCTGATCAAACTTCTTATACTGTTTAAGCACAACGATTTTCGGCACATTGATATCGTTGCCTTTATATTCGGAAGTATAAATTTTTCCATAACCACCAGATCCGATCTCTTTGAGTTTATAAAAGTCGTTATACTGCATGTATTGTATATTACTGACATTTTTGTAAAATAGTATAATTTTGTCCAATGCTGGACGTATTTCATCGCAGAAAACTAAATAATGTTTCCGAGTAGACGGATCTTGAGTAACTCCAACTATCCAAATAGTATCAGGAGTCGGATATTCCTTAATTAACTATTGGGTAAACAATACAATTAATGCGAGTTATACACTTAATACTATTTGCATTATTTTGCACGTGAAATAATTTACCTGATTAAAATCATAATCAAGCGACTGAATATCACATATACGCTTGAGAGTCACGTTTGTCCATTCGTTTGTTCTCAGACCTACACGAACTGCTATAAGTGTGCAGCCATGGCGCAATGGGGTCATTTCTCGCACATCCATCAAACTAGAGTATTCGATCCATTGTATATAGTCATCCTTCTTATTCTCCATATTACTCCACAACTCCATAAGGAATGAATCCAAAGACTTGTTGCCCGTAGTCCAGTCAGGAGGTGTTAGGGATTTACATGCAAAACAATATGCGCTATGTTGATTCAATCGCTCCGTACAAGCTAGACATAGTCCATCCCCATACTCTGGTTGCATTAGACAATACTTTTGTTCGCTTGCTTTGTATGTGAATCCGATGGTAACCCAAACACCCGTGTTAAGAATATCAGGATGTTTATCACATAACTAGTGGAAATGATACATAATAATAAGTTAGTTATTATTTAAATAATCCATAAACATGACGCATAAGTAAATAGTTTACCTCGGCATAATATAAATCATGTGTCTCATCTGTTATATCAAGTGGAATCAATTTAACATCTTTACGAGTAGGTAGACCATACAAGCGTCCACTTCCATCCCGCCTAACATAAATACAATCTCGTGGAATCCATTCCAAATAGGCGTCATTTGGTGAGTTTGTTTGTAGTTGAGATTTCTTAATAAAGTCATCGAGTTGGTGATTGTTGCTAGTCCACCCATCGGATAATTGTTTATAACCACAAATGCACCACACGGGACTACATCGGAGTATTCCACATGTGGAGCAGAAGCCATAAAGAGAATAACAATGGTAAAAGTCTTCATTGGCAACCATGTAATAGTTATCGTCATTGGACTTGGTGAATCCTTTTATGAGTTTGTTGCGCCCTACAAGCCATACGGAGTATCGTCTAAAGTTATTGTCATTGTTATTGTGCTTGTGTGTTGGAAGTGAGTATATTCTAGCAAACTCACTCACAAGTGTTGGTGTACATTCTTCGTTACTTCCAAGTAATACCAGCGTTATCACATCACGATAATGTTTGTGAATAGCGTAGTAAACGTTGTCAATTTGAGTAGGTTTTACGTTGGTGATTTCCTCGTAAGGAATCCATTCAAGTTTATCAACCAAGTTGGCAATGGCTAGATTATTAGCAGCGCCTGATGCTAACGACATGGTAACAGTTTGAATTAGAAAAATTTTAAGTGCACAAATAAATGCTCTCAATGCTTGTGCTACATTATACATTACACATCTCCTTGGCCACCAATGAATTTTTGCGACGAGTCTCCCTATATTACAGTATTACGTCCGTTCACTTTGCAATGTAAGAGATGCTTTTATTGTACAATACTTTTTACTTGCGGTACGCCACAAAAAATATAATAATGTGGGTGGTTGAAAAGTTTTAATCGTGTGACTTTATTTTAACATAGTTTTGTTAAGCTGTAATACAAAAATTTCAGCCCCTTCCAATTACTGCGTTCGATATTTGCTCTAAAGTGATATTGTAAAGAAAAAGCTTAATATTAATGGACGTGGTAATACGGAAGCTGGTTTTACTATAATGCTTTTGTTTAAAAATAAAGTAAACACGTGTGTACTTTTGCTAAAAAATGAGAGTTATTGATCGATAACGATTCGAGACAATTTCATTGTTTTCGAGATTATTCAATGGTAAACATATCGATGGCTTGAGACTATTCTATTAGTTTATCATGTTTTTCACGTTTGAATTTATTTTATTAAGCTAACTAAAAAAGAATGAGAAAATGTAACGACGAGTTTTTAGTCAGGTTAGTTAAATTATGGGTGACACGAATTTTTCGTACAACCACATTATCACGCAGGGTAATGTGCAGTAAAGGCATGATTATTAATTGTCATATATTCCTCAAGTTGAATTTTAAGCTAGAGAATGGTGCGCATTTTTTTTTATAACTTATTACTCAGATAGTCTAAGCAATAGGAATGCGAATTTTTGTCACACGGGAGGTTATGTGTACAACAGGGCGCATGCATGTTTTGTGATTCTTTAATGGTTAGATGACCTGTCTTTATGATAAGCTGCATCGTAAGACAAATATTAAAGTATTCGATTATAAAAGCACCATGGCATAAGTATATAAAATCCAGCGCAAAGACCACGAAATTTACAAGTGGAGAATTTGAAGGTTAGTGCGGAAAATGAATTAGGAAAAGAACGACTTGACGAACGAATAAGCACCAGGAAACAATCAAAAAAAGTTAGTTTATACGCATTGTGATAGCGATGGAATGTACCTTATCTTAATGAAAAAAATATTTACATAGCATCACCAAATCTAGACTACAATCTTTATATGTCGTAATTTCCCCTTCGCAAATAAAATTATAATCTTCTGTACACCACCTAGCGACATTTAGACACACGCTAATGTGTAGACTCTACACACGGGAAGGTAACTATTGGATTAATAATTGGCTGAAAAACGTACGGGTGCCCCATTCTTTAACTTTAAAATAAGTCTCATTCTGCAGTAATTGCAAGAAAGAAAAAGGTTAGGCTGCGTAGATAAATTAAAGTAAACTAATTTCACAACACAATGGCAATAGAATTAAATATTGGAAAAAAATTTTTTTATAAGCAACTCATAAGTTTCACATGAGCTTGAATTTATCTAGTATTTGTTCGATTATAGAAAAAAATTTCAGTTTTTGATACCAACATTGTTTGACATACACTGTGTATACAGATACAGTGATGAAATCAAACACATGTAATAAGTTACATAATTAACAAGGACGGCGTCTTAATAATAAAGGCTGACAAAGAGAACGGTAAATCCATATTGTTTTAAAGAAAAGTTAATAAGTTACAACAAACCTATCCATCCAGGATATATACACGTTACAAATACTCCACAACGATAGGAAGTATAATTCTTAATGAAGAATAAAAATTCTGTCGTTTGACAGACTGTCTA